AATGGTATAACTTAACATGTCCCCCTATCCTCGGTATCATCTGTAAATTGATTGTGAGATCTAAAAACTTTATTCCATTTAGATTCCAGCAAGGTTACTTTATAGGTGTTATTTTATACTTTTCTAAAGAATAGCATTTTATATTCTCTGGCTTTTTATGTTAGCAACTACTGATGATTGTTTCCTGGATCCATTAATTCTTTAGGTGTTATAATATATTAGCTGGACTACTTAGACAAAGAGAAAGTTCTCCTCATCTACTATTTGATTACCCAATGATACAGTCATGTAGAAAAGGCAGAATAAATGTTTGATACTTTGTCTTTATTTAACAGTTGTAAGTATGTGGCAATGGTGGTCAATTAATTTTATTCTATTATTTTTATTACTGCAGACTCATGGCTTTAAACATTGTTATCTATCCATTGCAATTATCTTTCATGACTATCCCATCTTTTGCCACTAGGGGGCTGCTTCAAGTTCGCTTCTGGGTCCCTTGACCCCATGATGTTAGTCATCTTTTGTTGCATCCTTGCTATTTATAAGGAAATATTTCAGGCTCACCTTGAACATTTTCTAACCTCAGAACTGGAATCAGCCATTTCTCTAAGAAGTCTTTGTTCCTTTCAGTGGGAAATGGTTAGAGATTTATTTTCTAATATAAACAAATAGCCCCAAGTCCCCAGACATTTGAGGAAAGCATCTAAAGTGAAAGAGAAAGAACAAAAACAGGCAAACAGAATGAAGGAAGCTGTAAGAAACAGGCTCAATGCAAGAAGTAAAGGAAAACATTTAAAAAATTAATTAGAAAAAATAGACTTCTGAGATATAAAAATACATCTTGTTTATAAAACAATAAATTAAAAATATGGAAATTAAAAATGTGATTATGGAAATAAAATTTGAATTTAGAAGATAAAGTTGAAGAAAAATCTCCCAGAAATTAGAACAACAACAAAAAAACAAGAAATGAAAAACAGGAGAGAAATAAGAGAAAGCTAGATCAATGCACAAGAGCTAACAGTGGATTGGATTAAGAAGAGTTACAAAAAAAGAAAACAGAGAAAAAGGTGAGGAAGAAATTAAGGACAAAATAACATAAGAAAATTTGCCAAAACAGAGGATGAGTCTTTACACTGAAAGAGCACTGAGTTCCCAAAAGAGACCTGCACTAAGGCACATCAGTGTGAAATTCAGGATTCAGTTACTAAAGAGAAGAACCTAAAAGCTCCTAGAGCCTAAAGAAAATAGTCACTGCCAAAGATGGGATAAGAGTTACATCAGACTTCTGAATAGCAACCCTGGAGTCTAGAAGACAATGGAAGAATAGATGCCTTTAAAATTCTGAGTGAAAAATTATTTTCAGCCTAAAATTCTATACCAAAACTATCAATCAAGTATGAAGATAAGCTGAATCAGACATGCAAGAATTTTTAAAAATTGATCTACCATGTTCCTTTTCTTAGGAAGATACTGGAGATGTGTTCTACCAAAATACATTAATCAAGGAAGAGGGAAACATGGGATTCAGCGAACAGGAGAGGACAGAAGGTAAGTGCCAGGTATAATAAGCAAGCAGTAGGCTTCAGTCTACACTCAGGCAGGAGGAAGAGGATGGGAACTCATAGAATATCTGAACCATTTGTGTGTAGTTAGCAAACAACATCAAGAGGGATTTGTAACGCCTGTTGGGCATTTGGGGAAAATTAGTAATTTGAATTGCAAAACAAGCAAATGAAGAATATTATTCAAGATAATTATGCAATTCAGGCAAAACAAGAAGTTGATCAAGAAAGGATACCTCATCAGAATAGGCAAATTTCCTTAATTCTCAGATGCACATGTTTTCACATTTTTAAAGAGTCTGAGATCAGTCCACGTCTTTCACTTGAAGGCATCTTCCGGTCACTGTTGGCCAGACTGCAGTCCTGATGGAGTTGTCATTGCCTATGCTTGACCTTGGTCATCATTCCTGTGTTTTGATTCTACGACACCAACCAACTGACATTTTAGTCCACTAACCACTTTCGGATTATATGAGGAGGGAATAGGAGTCCTGGTTTGTCTGAAGACCTTCTGTGGACATCTTCCAGTAAGATCAAGAAAGTGCTAGCATACAAACTTGCAGAATGGGGTCAATAGCTTCGAAGAAAATTCTGGAGAACAGCGTGCAGGAGGTAGCTGATCAATGACTCTCTCATCATTGATGTTTCTATCTCTCCCTCTCATTTCCTCTAAAGTAAATATATATATATATATATTAAAACAAGCAAGCAAACAACAACACAAAAAATGAGCACTGACACCTGAATAGAAAAGTGATTCAGAAGAGGTGAACTATGAATTCAAAGAAGGTTTAAGGATACTTAATTCTGCTTACATTTTTCTTTTTTGTGTGCGTAAGACCAATATATGATTAAAAATGTCTAAATAAGAGCCCTGTCAATAAATTTACGTTAAAACTTAAGTAATAAAAGAGTTTGGCAGCACATTCTTTCTTAGTGGTTCATGTTACAACCGATGGTGTAATCTAGGGTGTTAGTTGGTAGCAGTGAACAATTTTTACATAGTCATAATACTAATGTCAATACCAATGTTAATTTTTAATTTAAAACATTAACTATTATATTAAAGATAATTAACATTATGTAATTATAATGGGAGGTTGGGGAGGGGTAATGTTTGTGCGCATGGAGGCAGGAGAGAATGGGCATGGGCAAGCGGGGAAAATCTTTACCTCCACAGGCAAGTCAGAAGACAAAGTCAGATTGATACATATTCCTGAGAAACTGAGTAAAAAAACACACAGAGAGAAACAGTTGAAAGTAGTTGTCCTTGGTAAATGAGGTCAGGGTATGGGAGAGTAGGTTACTCAGGTTTTTTTAAATAATTTTTTCCATACTATTTAACTTTTTCAACTCTGTGCATCATTACTTTGATACAAACAGTTTTTTAAATAAAATAAAAATAAATGACTCAAACCCATTCTGTGCTGTTATTATAAATTTGCATCTTCTTTGCAGGCCATATGTTCTAGCTTTTGGTTTGAGAAATCTATTCGCTGTGAGAGGCTGCAGGATGCAGCAGAGAGAGCTGAGCGCTGGTGTCTGTTGTCTGGGTTTGCATCTTGGGTTTGTTGCTTACTAGTTTTGTGACCTTGGGCATACTGCTCAACTTCTTTGGGCTTCATTTTCCTCACCTGTAAAGTGAGCAAAAGGCTGCCTGTTTCACTGGCTGTGCTGAGGATCAAAGAGAGAAGGTGTGTGAAGTCGCTGGCATAGTGCTTGTCCGGGGGTTCAGCCCAGGGTAATTTTATCTAACTCCTCTTGACTGTACACATCTGCCCCCCACCCAGTGGGATTCCCACCCCCTTAGGAACAAGCCTGACCCCTTCAAAGTGCCCCTGTGCTCAGGCACCCCAATGCCCCAGTTAGGCCCTTTGGCCATGGTCCCCCAGAACGTCCCACATTCCAGAGCTTTAGGCCTGGACACCAGCAGTGTTTGTGAGTCACCACTCTTTTCTACCTGATCTTTTCTTCTCGTTTCGGAAGCTGCTGGGGCTCTGGAAGCTGCTGGGGCCCTGATTATGACAATGGCTCCATTGTTTCTGTCCAAATGAACTCCCTAGCTATGTGGCTACAGGCCAGGGGTCATTTGCCCTTCCCCAAGGTCTGGGAGCAGAGCATGAGCCCCTGGCCTGCCATGGCAGGATGAGCCCAGCCTGCTCATAGGTCTGATTGAGGTATGGCCAAACTTGTCACCTGCTCCTGGATCCAGGGTCTGCAAAAGTCAGCCCTCCCTCTGCCCCACAAAGCAACCATCTTGGGGCTGTGGGTGGGCTGCAATCTGGAAAGCAGAGAGCAGCCCTGCCCGCTCTCCTGGCACCTTCTTGCCCTCTCACATCTGGACCCCTGGAGCTCTGTAGGCAGTGACTTCACAGCTAGAAGGAGCGTTGTTAGAAATTGAAAGCAGGTGTTATTTTATTTTCCTTGTTTGGATAGGAGAGCTGCTTGCTCAGGGCTCCCTCTCCCAGGACAGATAGGCAGTTCATATTTATATATGTGATCCAGAAATATCTAATAAGCCACACACCAGGGCTGTTGACATTGCCTCGACCTGAAGGGTATCCCATCTCCCTCCAGCTGCACTTTCAGAGGCTGGGAGAGACCTTCAGAGAATAGAAACAGAATAGATGAAGGGGGAGGGGAATGGCCCTCTCCCAGTGCCATAGGCACGTGGGAACATGATAGTGTCCTCTGGGTCCTTGAATGAAAGCTGTGTTCCCAAGCACATTACCCCATGATAGAGCATGCTTGATGCAAGAAGGGAAACAGAGTGCAGAGCTGGGGGCAAGAGGGGTGGAGGGAGGGGAGCAATTCAGAAAGCGGAAGCGCTGGGTCTTTGAGAGGTGGGATAAAGAAAAAAAGCACACAGAGCCCTTGAATCAGGAGTGTGGGTTCCAGTCCCTGCTCTACCATGTACCAGCAGCAAGTCACAAAGAACCTGAGCTTCTTCATCTAAAAACAACAAAAACACTCTGCAGGGTTGTAGTGGGAAAGTTAAGTAGATCTCCAGTCTCTGAGGTTTGCAAAATCTAGCCTTTCTTGCCTACCACTCATTTGAGGGACATCTGGTGCATAATGGAGGCACATTTCCAGTCTCCCACTCACCTGGGATGGTCCTGAAGATCCCTCTGGACCACTTCCAGCTCCCTGCTGACCTGGGAAGGAAGGATCGGATTGGGAAGGTCCTAGGACGGAGCTGCATGGTGGTGCAGCGTGAGGAAGCTGTTACTCCAGCCTCCCCTGACCCAAGCAGATGGGGAGGGTGTTGCTCTGGGTAAGGAGATCTGGCAGCCCTCTGGGCACATGTAGATGTTGGTCCTTAACCCTGCAGGCTGTCCCTGACTCTTTCCCAGCTTCCTGTCCACCCCAGACCCCGACAGCTGCCTGCTCTGGTGGTGAGTGGCACAGCTGTGTAACCTCTGTGTCCTCCAACAGGCCACAGAGTGGGCCTCCAACGAGGACACGCGCCGCTCCTGCCAAAGCAAAGGGAAGACTGAGGTATGTGGCCTTGGTGGTCCGGGGCCCTGGCTTGGGGCCAGCAGGAGGCTTGTGGTTTCAGGGATGGACGGGCACCTTGTGGGCACAAGACTCCCTGTGTAGAGGCCCCGACTGGATGAACTGGGGGCTCCTGTGCAGGGGAGGGTCAGCCCTGAGCATCCGAGTGGGCAGTGATGCAGTGAGACGGCCTGGGAGGGAGGTGTGGGGGCAGGGGATGTCCAAGGTTGCCACCTGAACTTCGGGTGGAGCTGGGACACGGGAGTGCTTTTAAATACCTGTGGTGCAGTGGGGAGGGAAAGACGCCCAGTGCTGTGCCTGGAGAGCTTGTCCCTTTATTACTTCCCCTTCTTGCTTCAGGAGGAATGTCAGAACTACGTGCGAGTCCTGATTGTCGCTGGCCGGAAAGTGTTCATGTGTGGGACCAATGCCTTTTCCCCAGTGTGCTCCAGCAGACAGGTGGGGGCCGCTCAGGGTGGGACAGTCAGAAAGAGAACTGGGAGGCTCTCTTGCCCAGGCACACAGCCTTGGAGTGGGGTTGCCAAGTTTAGCAAACAACAACCATGAAACAAACCCCAAAACAAGAAAGGATGCCCAATTAGATTTAATTTCTGATAAACAACAAACGATATTTTAGCACAAGTATATCCCATGCAAGATTTGGGATATACTTATGCTAAAACGTTATTTATTGTTCATCAAAATTCAAATTTAACTCAGCCGCCTGTGTTTTATCAGTCTACCTTACCGCAGGGGTCAGAGGCAGGTGGAGCTCCTGGCACAACCTCCCCCTCCATGAGGGCTGCTCCCACAGAGAGACTGTGGGGTGGGCATTGAGGAGGATGCTGGGAGGGAGAGGCCCACAGAGGCCAGGGGCCCAGGAGGAAGCAAAACGCTGAGGTGAAGAAAAACAGGCAGCCCCTGGATCTCAGGGAAAAGCGCCCCCATCTCCCCGTCATCCCAGGTGGGGAACCTCAGCCGGACTATGGAGAAGATCAATGGCGTGGCCCGCTGCCCCTACGACCCTCGCCACAACTCCACCGCTGTCATCTCCTCCCAGGGGGAGCTCTACGCGGCCACAGTCATCGACTTCTCGGGTCGGGACCCTGCCATCTACCGAAGCCTGGGCAGTGGGCCGCCCCTTCGCACTGCCCAGTATAACTCCAAGTGGCTCAATGGTAAGCAGGCACAGCCCCAATGGTGGGCTCCCCCAGTTCTGACCCACCAGCCCACCCTGACCCCCCATCAGCCCTCCTCCCTGCCCAACCTCTGAAAGGGCTCACACTCACTTCATCAAGAGGCCCAGAGTGGGCGTGTGTTTGCCCGAGGAGAGGGACTCTGGCTGAAATCACGGTGTCCTGAGTACCCAGGACAGGTGGAGGGCAGGCAATGAGGGGAGAGAAAGGAATAGGAATTGATTTGGAGGAGTGGTTATGGGAAAGAAGTGAGTGGGGAGGGTGGCATGAGTTTCCTGCCCCTTGGAGTTGAATCCCTGCTTCTCCACTAACTAGCTCTGTGGCCTTGGGCAAGTGTTGACCTGTCTGTGCCACGATGTTCTCATCTGTAACATGGGGCTAATCACGGTACTAACCTCACAGGCTGTTAAGAGAATAAAATGGCTGATCCATATAAAGTACTCATAGTAGTGCCTGGTACACTGAGTGCTCAGTAATGCATGTTAACTATTGTTATAACTGCACTTTGCATTGGAGGTGGGAACGGTTAGGGCCCCCAGGTCACCAAGCTGGTGGAGGGGTGTCAGGATGCCCATCTGGGAAAACGGAAGTAGGCCATTACTCTCGACTCTGCCCCCTTCCTCCCTGCTGGCCTGACCCACCCTTTGTTCCTCTTCTGCCCCCAGAACCAAACTTTGTGGCAGCCTATGATATTGGGCTGTTTGCCTACTTCTTCCTGCGCGAGAACGCGGTGGAGCATGACTGCGGGCGCACCGTGTACTCTCGGGTGGCCCGCGTGTGCAAGAACGACGTGGGGGGCCGCTTCCTGCTGGAGGACACGTGGACCACGTTCATGAAGGCCCGGCTCAACTGCTCCCGCCCGGGCGAGGTCCCCTTCTACTACAACGAGCTGCAGAGTGCCTTCCACCTGCCCGAGCAGGACCTCATCTATGGGGTCTTCACCACCAACATGTGAGTCCCTGCCCCTGGCCACCACTTCCCTGAGATACCGGGACATATTCTGGTCTGGCCTTGCAGCCTGGTGGGCTCAGGAAAGCCCCTCTCTGTCTTGTTCCTTTCTGAATGGGGATTGCCGTGTCTTCTGCAGCGGGTCATCTGAGGATTTTGCAACTTGCCGCCCCTGCAGTGGTCAGCATTTATTCTGGGTTGCTATGAAGGGCAGGCCTAGGACAGATATGAAGAAATAAAAGGAGCTGGATTGCAGCTTCATGAACTTGCTGGTGATGAAAGTGAAATAGCTGCCTTGAATAAGGGGATGGCAGCTCCGGAATGGCCTGGCAGCAGCCTGTTGGGGAGGTTCAGAGGGGGTACCTTATAGTCCCTTCCAACCTCAGGATTCCAGGGCCCTGCTAGCCCTACCCAGCAGAGTCTTCTGGCAATCCTGATTGCACTGGAAAACACAGGCTGGGGATCAGAGCCCTTTGTTTCCCAGGTGTAAGAAAGGGTAGCCCTCACGAAGGTCATGAGCCCTCTCCCACCTCCTTCTATGTCAAGGCTGACTCAGTCAGGTGATGTTCACAGAGAGAATGCTGACTGGGTGGCAGAGACCAAGGAAAGCACTTGTTATACAGGACACTGTGCAGGGTTCTTTGTAAGAACATAAGAAACACATGGGCCATAGCCAGGTGATTGCTTACCTTGGGCCCGCATTGCAGGTGTCAGATGAGGACCAGATTAGCTATAGGAAGGATAGTGTGAGGGGCTGTCCAGGGATGAGAGTAAAGCTGAGAAGCAGGAGCAGAGAGGCCATCCAGGCCAGGGAGACAGACACGCAGCACAGCCCGCACAGGCCCGGAGCTGACAGCCAGGACTTAATGACCAGCCTGCCAATCAGCACCAGAAGGTGAGCAAAGTGCAAGGGCCACTGGAAAGGCATCAAGGAGAAATGTCAACATTAGTGTCGATTGTAAATAGTTTGCATTGGGTGCCTTCTCCGTGCCAAGTGCTTGTTGTGTGGCTTGGGGGTGAGGGTAGGGGTTCCAGGTTATAAGAGCAGACCTATCCCTGCCCTTAAGGAGCTTACATTCTAGAGAGGGTGATTATTATTAATTGTGATATTAATGTATCAAAAGTTCAATTAGTATATCACGATTTTAATCTAGATAAATGTTACAAAGGCAAAGGGCAGTGAGTGTGCAGAGAAACCTCTAAAGTTATGGAGGGCTGGTAATCAGGGAAGACTTCCTGTAGGAAGTGACATCCACAAGATGAATAGTAATTAACTAGGGGAGAGGAGCAGCCTAGCTCAAGGGAACAACACATGCAAAGTTTCTGGGTAGGAAGAAATGTTTGAGGAACTGAGCCAGAGCAGTGTGGCAAGAGCCTAGGGGGCGTGAAGGAGAAAGACAGGAGAACAGTGGAAGGGCTGGGACAGGGAGGACTATGTCCTGCAGGTCTTGTAGACTGCCTTAGGGTTTTGATCTTTATCCTAAGAAAAATGTGTTATTGAAGGGCTTGAAGCAGGCCAGAGACTAGCTCAGTTGTGCATCTTGAAACATGCATTCTGGCTGCTGAGTGGAGAATGAATTAGAGAAGACTAGGCAGGCTGCAGGGAGGCCAGCCCAGAGGACAGTGCAGCATCCGGGGGAGACAACGGGGCTGATACCAGGCAGAAATGGACACATTTGGGAAAGGGGCTAAAAGCAGAAAACAGAACTGGAAACACTTGGTTTAGCGGTGTCATCTCTGAACTGTTCGCATCAGACTCAGAAACATCAGACTCTGACTGAGAGTGGTCTTAGAGGTATCTGGCTCAGGGTGTTGTGGGCTGCAATATATCAGTGGTTTGGTAACCCACTTTTTAAAAATAAAATAAGTAAAACAATGGACTGGAATAAAAATATCAGAGTATAATGCATTTAATAAGGGTAAGTATTGTTTCATAAAAATTCATTGCATATGTGTGTATGTGCATATATGTGTGTGTTATACTGAGTTGTAATACACAACATATTTCCTACAGTGGCCATGGATAAAATGTTTGAAAACACTGACTTTATTTGACCCTTCCACAGGAGAAGGGAAGGGAATGAGAAAGTAACACAGAGGAACCCACCAGGACTTCTCATCAGTGGGTCTTTCCCAGAGGGTTTCTAGAGCATGGGGACCATGTTTCCTCCTCTCTGACACCCATCACTCAGATGGCACCAGACTCATCATAGGTGTTTAATCGACCTTGGAGCTGTGCCAGGCAGTGCCTAGACTGTTGGCTGTGGGGGTCAAGGAGGGTGCTGAGGCCTAT